TTGTGTCAGAACTGAAGAATCAAGAGGATTTCCCTAAGTCGTCAAAGCAAGACTAAAATTCGAGGGCTGTCAGAATTCTCAGAATGCAGAGTAATGAGCTCAGCCCTGGAGGGGAAAGGAATGCACCAAATAATCCAGATACTAGGAACACAAGGCATGTAGGGTCCTAATCCTCAAGGGTCTACGTTAAAATGAAATTACTGACAACTTGATCGTGGGCTGGTAGAGCGTCACCCTTTCACAAACCCCAGCTCCCACTGCCCATCTTCCTGACTCTCTTTCCCTCGCTGGCACCAAGACCTCTGGGATGTGAACGCATGACAGGGTGGGGAGCCAGTCCTATGGCTTTTGGTTCCAGACCCAGGTCTACTACTTCCTTGCTCTGTCACTTTGGGCATTTCCTTAACTTCTCTGCATCTTTTTTCACATAATCTGTAAATCCACGTAATTAAGGAAATCCTTTGTTTGTGAAGATACACAAGATAGAGGGGTGCCTGGGTGGCTCAGTCATTGGGCGTCTGCCTTCGGCTCAGGTCATGGTCCCAGGGTCCTGGGATCAAGCCCCAGCCCCGCATCGGGCACCCTGCTCCGCATCGGGCTCTCTGTTCTGCGGGAGGCCTGCTTCTCCCTCTCCCACTCCCCCTGCTTGTGTTCCCTCTCCTGCTGTGTCTGTCTCTGTCAAATAAATAGATACACAAGATACCATAGGTGAATGTGCCTAGCACAGTGCCTGCCTCAACAGTCGAGTCCTTCCTTCCTCTGAGCCCATCTGCTGGGCCCTTCGTGGGGTGGGATTCATGCACGGAAGGTCAGTGTGGACACCACTAGAGGTGTCCATGCCAGAAAACACAGTAAAATGCCCTGCTCCTGACAGATGGAGACAGAATCTGAAAGCTCCCTTCTAGCTAGTCCTCTTCTGTCCTTCAGGCTACGGGGACCACCCAGGAGAGAGCGCAGGAGGTGTGTCCAGGGCTGAGGGTGAGGCTGCAGGAGAGTCCAGGTGACCTGGGCCAATGTATCTGGTTCCGCAACTATTCACAGCCTCTTAAAGTCTAGTCGGAGGACAAAGGCAACAAGAGTTGCCTGTGGGAACCCTACTTCCATCTCAACCCAAATTCTTAAACATATCCCTGATCTTCTGCCTCAGCCTACTTTCATTAAGTCCTTACAGGCTCTAGGCTGGGTCACGTGACTCTAAGAACCAGTACCCCCAACCATTGCCCCAAACTGTGACAGGAGAGCTAAAGCCCAGATTTCCTCTGACTAACTCGTCTTGTGGAAAGAGAAGCCTCTGAAGGCAACAGAGGACCGCGGGGAAACTTTGCTCTACTCCCGGAGGTAAAAATGCTGCATATCTCAAGCCTAAGGAAATCTTTAAATTAAAAGGTGTTTGTTTTTTTTTCTTAATTGGTACCTGGTATTGTCATGACACAGATGGTGGCCTTCAGATAGGGCCTTCAGTGAAGTCAGATTCAAACCCAATCGCTGGTTTGGAGGGCCATGCCTGTGATTGCAGTTAAGACCCATCTCTGATAAGCAGGTCTCAGAAGGACCGAGCCTGACCAGTGACACGGCAGGAAAGAAGCACAGGGTAGACTCATATAACAAGCGCTCTTTTCCAAAGGGAAGGCTATAGCTGTAGGGCATTTAATTTTCATAATTGCTTTTTTTCATGCATGCTGTGTGAGCTTCATGGACAGGGTAGGAGGAGAGAGATGATGGACTGGAGCAAATGGAAGGCTTCATAGGACCAGGGTTAGGAGAGAAGAGGTTTAAATAAACAGACAGCAGAGATAATAAAGGAACAGAAGAATCCGGAAGTTAAGACAGTCTTAAAAAGGAGAAAGACATGTGAAAAGTGGAAGTTAGCTCTTAAGACAGAGGCCAGTTGAGGAAGGGCAGTTGATAACGAGTATTGATAAAAATGAAACCAACCGCTATTTCCATTTGAAAACAAACATGTTGCATATGCTGGAAATCCTAGCACGGGAGGGCCCATCTAGGGCCGAGATTCAGGGCCCTTGCCGGCTGGACCCTCTCACTGCCAAAACTTAGTCTTCCTGGGTCTCACTATTGAATAACCTTGGGCTATCGTGGGTTAATGAGTGAATTGAATCTATTCCACTTCACCAATTGACGAATATGTCACCTATTTGAGAAAATTAGCTATTAATAGCCACTTCTGGGCTGTTGGGTAACTACTGATTTATTTAATATCTCTGGGTCTCCATTTCCTTACATTAAAGGAGATAGACTTAATAATACGTGAGAACGAGATGATATTTGAGTGGGGCTGCAGAGTGACAATGGAAGGGGAGGGCTTCAGGGCGCCATACACACAAGGTAGGAGAGGAGGAAGGTTGTCTAAAGGAAATGAATGTAGCGACAAAATTGCCTGAGAGACTGCAAGCTGAGCATAATTATGGTTGCATCCTCAAGGGGTAAGGAAGAGCCATGCAACATATCCCAGAGGGGCCCGGACTTCCTATTATGTTTATTAATCATCTTGATGAAAATGGAAAGTCTGCATTGATTAAATTCACTAATGATCCTAAACTGAGCAGGGGAGTAAATTCTAGAAACGATGGATTTGTAAGGTGAGTGGTAATATTAATCAGCTCATCTTATGAAAAGGGTGGCAGTAAATGAAATGGGATTTGCCATAGATAATGGCAGTGAGGTATACCTGGGGGGCAATTATAATGAGCCTAGTTACAAACTAGGAAGCTGTTATTTAGGAAATAATAATGGGAGGAGAGCTCTAAAGTGGAGAGTGAATAATAAATTAAAAAGCTTAAAATAAATTCTCATTATGGATCACAATTTCACTCTCAGCACTTTTGTGGTGGGCTGAGGGAGTGTAGAAGAAACTTGGGGGGCAGCTTTCACATTTTGAGGTGAGGGAACTGGGACCAAGAGAGGTTAGGCATGGATCGCCAGTCAGGGGTGGCAAATGCCGGGCATACTCATCACCACTCTGTACCCTGCCGGGGGTGACAGATCACCACTCCTGAGAGGCACGTAGCCTGAGAATCCTTCACAACACAGCATGCGAAGCTGGCTCTGATTCCTTGGCTCATGAGGTGTTATCTTTTGCTATCTCTTGCTTGGGTCAGCGAGCTAGACATTGACAGAGTCATGGCTAAAACCTAGATTTCCTGATCTGGTCTCTTTTGCTCTGTAAGTTCTAAACCGTCTACGGTCAACGCTGACCTGAACTTCAAACACTCAGAAAGCAGAACTGGCTTCTTAACTAGGGTTCTCCTTTTGGTTTCCATCATGCTGGTTTGAAGTCCTTGGACAGCATTTAAAAAAAATCTCTGAAGCTCTATGTGTAGTAATGTTGGGGAGACGCTCAGAAATATCAGTAATTCGGAGCCAACAAGTTTTGTGCCCTTGGGGAATAACATACACCGTTCAAAAAAATGTGACCAAATGTAAGTAATGAAAATTAAGCTTCTATCACAGGCATTTGATAAAAGGAATAATCTTGTTAAAAATTTCCTGGGACTGATTAATGTTCTGTTTGTTTTGATCTTGGTGAGCAAAGCGAATCCACTCTGTGCAGAAGCAACAGTGTGGAGGGAGGTCCTGTGTGTGCCGGGTCCAGGGAACAAGGTCGGGGCATCAGCCTAGGGAGAAGAAGAGGCAGGGAAGATTGGTCTTGGCAGAATTGGGAAGTAGGTGCACTTGGCCCAATCTTGGGTCCTTTTATCCTTCTTTCCTGTCCCTCTTCCCAGGAAGGCTTGCGCTGCCCCTCTGAGTTCCAGTGGGGTGATTTGGGGGCCCTCCCATAAGGCTGTGCTGATTGTGTGTTGCACAACTCTAGCGGGTGCCGTCCCCCTTTGCAAACTCTGCAGCTCTTCATGGCCATCCCCCTGGCAGACTCACAACCACTCTGCAGTTCTTAGGCCTTTTCTGATCTCACCCATCATTCCATGGAAATCTACCTGATACATTTCTAATCTGACTCACATCCTCATAATCTAATGGGTCACTGCCCACGAATTTCCTGAAGACCCACCCATTAGCCTAAGTGAATGACTTAAATAGAAAATTTTACAACAGGCCTGAAAGACAGCTCTCCTTAAGTACCTCTTCAAACGATCATTGAATGCCCCAGAGGATGAGTGAGAGATAACATTCAAATGCTCGCCCAGCCATAACCACAAAGTTAGCTCCCAGGATCTCATAATTGTTTAATTTGTTCAGCACTTTGCAGCTTGTAGAATCCTGTCACCCGTGGCCTATATCTAAGAGCTCTGGAGCTGGATTCTGCCAACCTCAGTTTGAATCCCATATCTGCCACTCGCTGGGCATGCAGAGTTAAGCAAATTGCCTAAACTTTCAAAGCAAAATAGGTTTGTTGATAAGATTAACGAAGGTAATGCACGTGAAGCATTTAGCAGTGCGTGGCAAACAGCCATCAATAAATGTTAGCTACGGTCATTATTTTTTATTTCATAGTACCCTGTGGGGCAGGTGAGGTGGATATTATGTGCTTTGTCCTGGGAACCCAAGCAAAGTCAGAAGGGATTTTTCCAAGGGAATGCGGTCATTACGTACCAAAGCTGGGTATTACATCTGTGCTATGGAAGTACGACTCCCGTGTTCCTTCCACTGTTCCGAGTTCTCGTAGATCTCACGTAACACTTAACCACATTCGTCCACATCCTCAGGCTGCATAGTTGCAGCGCACAAAAGAGATAGGTTAGTTGCTTTTTCACTGTCTACCTCTGTCCTAAAACGTCGATGGAAACCCAGTACGCCCAGGTAATGACAAACACAGGCTGTGAATTTTCTGTCTTCAAGGTGCAAGGCCATACCCTCCAGGTTATGGGATCGCCGTCTGAAGCCGAGAGAGCACGGCAATGGTCAAAAGGGCAGTAGACTGACAGAAGATGAGGCATTTTGGGTCCATGAATGAATGTGTTCACTTTCCAGGATTATCGGTTTTAACCATGAGGAAGGTCGCTCGCTTTAAAATAGAAGAGACTTACCCACATATACAGGTTGGCTCCACTCACTCCAAAACCCCATCTGTCTGCACACAGAACTCACTGCTGCTCTCACTTGAACGGAATACTTAGAAATATCATCAATTATCGAGATGAATGTATTCGTCGTCATTTTTTCTGTCTAAATGAGGAAAAAATTAGCGTTATAAGAATCTCTGGACACGTAATTTAAGTAATGTCAGTTATCAGAATGGAAGAATGGAAGGCCGTACCTAAGTAATGTGACTCACTGTTACCTGACCCATTTAAAATCCACAGGACATACATTGATTAGTTTATTCTAGAAGGCTTCGTTATGGATGTGCCGGCAGCTACCCTCTGGGGTAAGCAATCTCGTAACCAAAATCAAGAAAAAGTCAACCATAACGTCTAGATGATTTATCTGGGCCCAGCTGATGTTTCCAGATGAAGTGACTGGAGTGGCCGATAGTAGAACGCATAATCCCCCTCATCTCGTCCCTCCATATTGTGGTCAAATTACTCAACGATATCACCTGGGTTCCATCCTATGCAGAAGGCATCCGCAAACTACAACGTGTGGGCCAGTCTGGCTCGCTGCCTCTTTTTGTAGGGCCTGCAAGCTGCGGATGGTTTCTATATCTCTCAATGATTGAAAAATATCAAAAGAGTATCTCATGACACATGAAACTGAAATTTCAGTATCCACAGGTAAAGTTTTACTGGAACACACCCATGCCTATTTGTTTACCTATTATCTATGGCTGCTTCTGTTCCACAGTGGTAGAGCTGAGTGATTGTGATAGAAACCAAATGGCCTGCTAAGCCTAAAATATCTGGCCATTTACCAAAAAAAAAGGTTTGCTGAACGCTGATGTATAGGAATGTCTCAAATAATTGGAGCCTGCGGGGGCGCCATGATAAAGAGGAAAGAGCAGAGTCCTTGAATCTAGGAAGGGCTGGGCTTGAATCCTATGCTCCAAACTACCTGCAAGGCAAATTCCTTGACCTCTCTGAGCCTGTTTTCTCATCTATAAAATGGGAATAACAACACCTGAGCACGAATTATTGAACTAAACCGTACCTTTGTAATTCCACGTTTAAGGGTGTATTGGGTTGAATCCTATGAAAACTGCCAATATTCAACCCATCTTTGATGAGCAAAAACAGCAATGTTGGTTAGTTCAATACAATAACGGGGACTCAGGAAATGCTAGTTTGCCACAGGGAATTTGGGCTAACATTGTCCAGTGTTACACGAGGCTGTCTCCTCACAAATGAGCCTTTCTACATTACTCTCTCTACTGGTCAGTGTCCATACCGTTCACCTAATCCTTTATGCCCCAGACCAGAGATGCAGCCCTGACACCTACATCTTCCGTTCCTCTGGGTGTGTTTCTTTTACTCGCCCCGCCCCATTTGTCTTGTTATCTTTTGCTTGGCCATTTGCCAGAGCCATTAACCCCACATGCCTATGTCCACATGGCCCCCTCCCCATGCATCCAGCTTTCATGTTGCTACCAAAATTATTCTTTGATTTTGCAGATGCAGTCGCATTTCTGTATTGAATAAAACCCTTCAGTGGTTTTCTGTCCCTATGGCAGTGGTTTTAAAAATAGAAACCGCTTTTTTTTTTTTTAAGCAAAATCTCAGTCATTCAGGGAAAAGTCCCCGTGTAGGATCCAGATTTGTTATCCCAATGTTGGCTTTCTGTCCAGGCCGACTCACTTACTGCCACTTGGCTGGAGGAGCCATGCTCTCTTAAGCCTTTGAGTTCTGCCTTCTGCCTAGACCCCCTGCCACTTCGAGTGTGCTTGGCTGACGGGGGTGGGTCAGGAGCTGTTTATTGCTGAGCCACAGTGAGGGAAACACAGAAATCAAAATGACAGTTGGAGCTCTTGTAGCAATTTGACTTTGCCACAACATCCAAGCCCATGATCGCTGGGCTTCTTTCTGGGCATATTTGGTTTTTCTGGCCTCTCATTTTTATTGTATTTTACAAAAGAACAATTAGAAATTAAATGAGAAATCTAATTAAAAATTGGAAATTAGATCCGAAATTTAAATAAAAAGAAAGCCAGTCTTTCAACATAGGTGTTTGGGGAAGCGCTGGCTACAGAAGTTGGTCTCCTCTTCCCGTGTCACCAGGCATGATTTTGCTCAATTCTTCTCAGCGGGGGCCCTCAGTGGGCCTTGCATTGCCCACCCCCTCCTCTGGACCTCTGTTGGCCCTTCCAGTGACGTGGTGAGTGTGTCCACTAGACTTAGGCCCCTTGATGGTAGAGACACTATCTTACTTATCTTTGTACTTCCCACATAGAAACCAGTTTGTAAGTATTGGTTGAATCAAATTGGATGGAATGGAACTTGCTTTGCCTACTGTCAGTACGATGCCAGTGGTGATCCTAACTTCCCTATGCTTTGCCAGCCTAGTGACTTTGGGCAAGTGGCTTAATCTGCCTCACTTTCCTGCCTAATGGGAATGAGAGTGACTTAATGGAGTTATTGGGAGGATGGAATAAATTAGCATAATGAAGCTTGACCCAGAGCTAATGCTTCATAAATGCTGGCTGGCTTCTCATTTCCTTGTCCCTTGAACTTTTTGTTCTTTAGTGCTGATGAGTATATTTCAGTTGTAGTGAAAAATAGGAAACAAAATTTACCATCTTAACTATTTTTAAGTGTACAGTTTGGTAGTGGTGAATACATTCACATTGTTGTGCAACCATTTCCAGCACTCTTGTACCCTCCAATACTGAAACTCTGCTCATGAAACAACAGCCCCCACGCCCCCCTCCCCCCAGCTCCTGGAAACCACCATTCTACTCTCTGTCTCTCTGCATTTGACTACTCTTGGTATCTCCTGTAAGTGCGATCCTGCAGTATTTGTCTTTTTGTGACTGGTTTATTTCACTTAACACAGTGTCTTCAAGGTTCATCCAGGTTGTAGTATGTGTCCAAATTCCCTTCCTTTTAAAGGCCGAACAACAGTGCATTGTATGCATAGACCACATTTTGTTGATCCGCTCATCATCTGTCAGGGGACACTCGGGTTGTTTCCTCCTTTTGGCTCTTGTGAATAATGCTGCTATGAACATGGATGTGCAAATTTCTCTTTGAGACGCTGCTTGCAGTTCTTTTGGATGTATACCAAGAAGTGGAATTGTCGGATCACACAATAATTCTATTTTTGATTTTTTGAGAAACTGCCATACTGTTTTCCACAGTGGCTGCTTATATTTTATATAAAATATAAAAAAATTTTTTATATTTACACCAACAGTAGTGCTCATGAGTTTTTATCTGATCTTTGTGTTATCTTGAACCAAAAGTTTGTCCTTCAACACAAAAAGACAGTAAAGTTTGGTTTATTTTTACAAAACTTGGGTGGATATAAGTTACCTTTGACCTTGTTATTGCCAAGCTATCACCGAATAGAATTTTTAAAATGTTTCTAAGAGAATGCTATCATCAAAATTGGAATGATCTGAAGAATTACCTGAAAATAATTTTTCCTTGTGTTGTAAATCTTCACTTCATATTCAAAGCAATGATTTGGAAAAGCAGAAATGGGTTTCTCCCACTGAATAGAAAGACGGGTTCCTTCAATCTCTGCTGTGACATTCACTGGAGGATTAACTCGATCTAGGTTAGAGAAGGAAAGGTCAGTAGTCTGGGCTGATGAATCCAATCCACTCACACTCCTCAAGGCATTTCTAAGATACAATCTTCTCAAGTATCTACCCTCGGGATTTAACTAACTGATCCACAAGACCCCAGTGGCTCACAGATGACTCCTACGTTGTAGCACTGAAGAGATCTCTACTGGAATCTTGAAGGATTCCTATTCCAAATGGCAATGAGTGGTGGAGTCCCTTTCCCCTTCAGCTCATTGCAAGACCCACCTCACTATCCCTGTTTCTCAAGTGGGACCAAACAGGGTCAGCCTCAACCTGGAGAGAAATTGCTCTGGAGCTTCCACTGAGCCCTGCCTCTCCTGAGCCAGGTGTGTGGCCCTGGGTAGTAATTTCCTCATTCTGAGCTTCAGTTTTGTTTCATTTTGTCTTCTTTGCCTTCTTTCAGGTTTGGGAGATGGAGCAGGAAGCTTCAATATTCTCTTGCATAAGAAGAATAGATTGGGCCACATTTGTCTTAACTTACAACTCTAGAGTTCTTTTCCCTGACTTATCACTTGATTGTCTTATAGCTTCGAGATGTGGGTGGAAATTATTTCTAAGTGAGCGTTGTTCTCTTAGGTTATGGGACTTAGATCTCACAATTAATGAATCATAAGGATAAGCTAAGAATGGGACCTATTGGTTCCACAGCCTGCCATTCCCTAAGCAGAAAAAATTTAACCAAGAATGTATTTCTTTTAGTAATATGAGGAATTTATCTCAAAGAAATGAAAATCATACAGGAAAATGAATCCCTGTGGTCTGTATCAGGTCGTGTCCATTTTCATATTAATATTTTTTCCTAGGTCTTCCTTAGCATTTTTTTATTACCAAATTTCAGGAAAGTGACATTTTTAGGTCATCTGAGAAATAGACTATTGAATAGAATTGCATAACCTCTTCATTGAGATGGTTCTTTAAACAGTTCATTTGATAGAGATATAGGTAAATCCTGTCCCTTTAAATAATATTTTTTATATTTATAATTATGTATAATTACCAGGCATTGTTCTAAGCACTGTATGGTTATTAACATACTTAATTCTCACAAAAGCCTTGCAGGAAGTGTTAATTTCTCCCCATTTCTTTCTGATGAGAAGACTGAGGTACAGAGGAATGACCAGCTTCTCTACAGTCCCTCAGCTAGTCAGTGGGGGAGCCAGGATCCAAGCCCAGGCAGCCTGACTCCACAGCCCACACCAGTAAATATGCCACGATTGAAATCTTGAGCATTAGTAACAAGAATGTGACGTGAAAGGCTCTTGATGAGTTTCATTAGTACAAGTATCTAGGATGGAAGGAGACTATTTTGAGAACCGAGCAAATGAAACTTTAAATAATACGTTTAGATCTGAGAATCATATGCTGAGTGAAACATTTTCGGATCACCCAGAGGAGACAGACCAGAATGGTAAATGATCCTAAGAGGAATTGGGGGTGGGAAGCTTGGGGAAGAGAAATCTCAGGATGAGAAAGCTGGCTGTCTTTGACTAGCTCTGAAACCATTTGTGGGGGAAAGGGTTGAGAATTATTTGGGGTTGGTACCAGTCCATCACAGGACCAATGGGCAGAAACTTCATGAAATGAGTCAGAGCTGAGAAAGGGCTGCTCCCTTCAGCAGTGAGTTCACATTCCCTGGTTCAGTGATTCTCACATGGTAGAGATTCTGTCCCCCATGGGACATTTAGAAATGTTGAGAGACATTTTGTTGTCACAGGGTGGGGGGTGGGGGGGAGAGATGCTACTGATCTAGTAGGTAGAGACCAAGGATGCTGCTCAAAATCCTGCAAGGCACAGGACAGCTCCCACATGACAGTTATCCATCAAGAATACCAGTAGTGCCTAGGTTGAGAAAGCTGGTCCCTGTGATTGTTAGGGGACAGATCGCATTTAGCATTGGAAAATTAGTCAAACTGGGTGATCTTTATAATCCCTTCCAATGCTGGGACTCTGCGATTTGGTTATTTCAGCTCTGAGTTAAGTCTACCTTACCAGTTGCATGCAGAGCAAACAGCTGATCAAAAGGCTTGATTGTAGCATGCTTGCTTGAGCCGTTAGTATGCACTGCCAGGGAGTCACTCCCTCTGCCACTGATAAAAGTCCTCGGAAACCAGCATGCAATATTTCTCTTCAGCGTGTCTTTCCTATACTCCTGGCATTCTTCGGTCGAGGAGCCATACCTAAATGGCAACACTCATAAGTTTTTAAGATGAGAGGCAACAATGCTTTTTCATAAGTAAACATAGCTACTTACCTGTAGTAGAGGAAATACTGCGTATCCTCAGGGGCATCCTTGCCAACGAGCCAGGTACAGTAAAGAGAAACTTGGTATGGCCTTAAGGGATTATAGTTATTTAATGTGGTGTTCGTAGTACACGTTAAATTCACAACTGAGGTTCCAGGAGACCCTAGATGGTCAATAAGAGGGTCAAAAATAAGAACAAAACACTGCCATGACAGCTTTTAAATCTTGCACTTCCTCTGAAACTGTAGTGATTGGGAACATCTTACCATGAAAAAGTAAACGTTATCATAAATTTCTAGAAACCTTTTTGCAAAGGGCCAGCTTACTGGGGGGATGAAGCTAGGATTACAAAGCCTGAGTTTCTGGCATTAAACTTCCTGGCCACTTTGGGCTAAGGGAGTGTGTCTGCGTGATATACTTGTATGAAAATTAAAGAGCAGTACAAGAGATTGTCGTTCAAAGCTTGGTATTCTAATGCCACATTTTTCAACAATGAGCTGTGACACTTTGAACCCCACTATTCTGGACCTCAGTTTTTCCAGCTGTAAACGGGAGAGTTGACAGAAGAAGGTCTCTAGTGCCACTTTCCATCCTAGAATTATGTGATTCATTAGGTCGCACCCAAATGGTCCTGAATAACATAGATTGCCGCTCCGAAGGAAGTGGGTTCTAGCAGCACTGAAAAACAACACTTCCTCGGGTGCCTGGGTGGGTCAGTCGGTTAAGCATCTGCCTTCTGCTCAGGTATGATCCCAGGGTTCTGGGATCGAGCCCTGCGTCGGGCTCCTTGCTCAGTGGGGAGTCTGCTTCTCCCTCTCCTCCCGACTCTTGCTCTCTCTCACTACCTCTCTCATATAAATAAATAAAATCTTAAAAAAAAAAAAAAAAACTTCCTTGGAGACTCCGTGCACAGTAGTCTGTTGACGTCAGCTTTACTGTGCAAAGATATTAAGGGGATCTTGTGATTTTCCACCAAACGCATTATGTTCATTTCACCCAGGATTTCTGAAGATTATTTGACTGGAAAGCCTTATTTTCATTTCAAACTGCACTGTCACCATGTTAATTGGGGGCTCTTCAGAACACACCATAGTGGAGACACTGGCCTTGTGGTTGCTCACAGGAGGGAAAAAACACTTTGGGCTGAGGGTCAAGGAGGACCTCATCAAAGCGGGAGCCTTGCGATTGAATCTCCAATGATAGAAGGGGGTCTCTTAGTTTAGCTTAGTTTAAGTCAATTCATATTTATCACTGTCAGCCAGTGTAGCTCACGGGGGAGAAAAGACAGACCACTTGTGTCTGCAGAGAAGTTGGACAAAAGGGACACTGGCTAGTTTGTGTTATTACCACGCACCGTCAGATAGGTTTTTTCCTCTATATTCATATACAACAAATGTACACAGACTTGTATGTATGCCTTGTACTCAGTGTGTTAAATGACCAGATGTTCCACACCCAAGTATAGTTTGGAGTCTTCTGTAATCTGTTTGCCTCCCACCTCTCTTCCAAGGAATCATGTGGTATGAATTCAGACTGATTCAGGGGAGAATTAATTTTTCATTCCTGTCACTGTATATTGGCATGCTCAGAGAATAATTAGAATTGCAGACATGTAATTCTGAAAGATGCATTACAGGTATACTCCTGTTACTGAGATGTGGGAAAGTAGTTTAAGGTAAGGCACACAGAGGTCTGTATTTGTGATCTTATGTCTACCTTGGATTAGTCTCTGAACTTGGAGTCAAGGCCATTGTGAATTGGCTGTTCTATGGTCTACGCAACACGTTAAAATGAGTAAACAGAAAGATGTTCACAGGGCTGCTCTCGGTCATTGACACAATTCAGAGGCTACACAGCCTTTTCATTCAGTGATGTGATGAGACAACGGTTGGATGATTACCCATGGGCCGGACGGGCCAAGACAACAGTTACTAGGAACGCTCACGTAACCTGGGACATGGTGATCCTTCTCTCTTTCCCTGGTGTGGGTGTGTGTGTTTCCAAGGCTTTAATCCCAAGTATCACTGATTCTACGTATTAGAAACCCCAATTTCCCACCAAAGGACAGTGTAGACAGTGGATGCTACCTATCCTCTTTCTTCATGGTGGGATGTTCCGTGTTGTGGCTGCTGTGAACCACCAGCAGCTTCCTTAAATTTGGTATGACAAGTCCTAGAGTGCAGAACGCCACAAACAGGACAGGAGGAAACGCTCCTTCTGAAGTGTGCACTGCTTGTTCCATAGCCCAGTAAAGCATGAGACACCATCCCTGCCCCCAAAAGGCTTACATTCAGAGGCGGCAGGGTATAAAGCTATTTGTGAAAGAGAATGGCATATATGCCAAATGAGTAACAGCCCATGAGTGGGTTTTGAGGAGGAAGAGCCTCCTTCAGTGTACGGGATGAAAAGTAAAAGGGCTTTCTAGAGGAGGTGCAACTTGCTTTGTGCTCTGAAGTATGGAAAGGATTCAGAAGAGCAGGCAGAGGGGAATCCAAGAGAGCAAAGCCTCTGAGGCAAGAAAAAGCTGCTGTGGGGGAACGGGGGAGGGGGGCGGCGGGGGGCGGCCAATGTTAGAAATCTGAGAAAAGTAGAGGAATCATGTTGGGTATGGTTAGAAAATGTCTTATAGCCCAATTATGAAAGACCTGATTGGCCCTGATTTTGCTGATGACCCTGTGACTTGGGAGCAGGGGAGCGAGAAGGGTGAGCTATGTCTGCAGGGATGCACCAGATGGAATGGGGTGGGTTATGACAATAAGTGATCACAGCCTCGGTTAGGATGTTGATGAGGAGGAAGAATACTTGGCAGGAACAGCTGACTGACTACGGAAAAGAAAAGCCAGTTTCTTTTCCAACTTTGCCTGATCTCCAAAGTCAGGAATACAATACAAGGCTGTTAGGAGCCTGCCTTACCCGGTGGGGCTTTAAGCTCAGCAGAAACCCAGTTGCTTGCCAGCAGGGAGTGGCCATTCCATGGGATGGTCTGCACACTTGCTGAAAAGCCTTGATGAAGAACGGTGACGCATTTGCTTTCAGTGTTTCTGGTTTCATACTAAAAATAAACCCCACAAGTCATGATGCAGAAAAGGGAAAGAGCATTAAGGGAGCTATTTTAATCCAATAGGCATTTTCTTCCACTTTTTAAATGGCATGTAAATAAAATTCAGGGAACTAGTTTGGATAGAAAAAAAATTAAGCGCATGATTTCACAGGTACATATCTGCTCATCCCCAAACTCATCGAGTTAGGTAAATATGTACAGCTTTTTCCACACCATTCACACCTCAACGAAGTTGATTTTTAAAAATGAGCAAGTAAATAAATGACCCAATTCTAGCATTTGGGTGTTAAAAAAAAAAAAAACATACAAAAATATATAATAATTCCTCAATGATAGATGAACACATTCCTATAAAAACAAACAAAATACTATGATTAAGGCTCACATTCACTTCAGCCATCACCTCTAAACCCAGTCTCTTCCCCAGAGGTAACTTTCTAAGGGAAATTTCTCTAGAATTCCATATTGACTGAAAAAAATAGCTAATACTAATCGCTTCTCCCTTCATTTCATTTTACTGCACATCTCTTAGGTATCAGGTGCTTTAACATAATCCCTGCAGTGGGAAATGGCAAAGCTGCGTCTCTGAGACGTACAGTGACTGGCCCAAGGTTGCCGAGGCAGGAAGTGATTGCAGCCGGATTCGAACTTGGCTTCTCTGGTTAAGCACCCCACTGCCTCCCATTTTATGCCACTGCTCTCTTCTCTTTTTCTCTTTGCCTATTTTCAAGTATCAAATCCATTTTACCTCCAAAGTCCCTAAACGTTCTTTTCTTGGTGAAAGAATCGGGGCAAAGTTAAAAGGTTCTGTGCCACTGTCGAATGCTAAGCAACACACACAGCACTAGTTCATGGTCCTTTCAACTGACACCCTACTCTGCTTGGAGCCTAATGGAAAACCCTTGGGTCGGTTGTGGGTTTTTTTTTTTTTTTTTTGGTAACTTAAAAGTTAATTTGATAGGGAAAATGCAGTTAGAGTTAAAAGTGACTCTAAATAAAGACGACTGTCAGAATAAATACTTACATCATCTTCTTGTGGAGCGTTTATTCTCACGTGATACCCTAGCTCGACATCCTTTGGCTCTTGATCAGGATTTGGTTCCCAGCGTAAAAGAACTTGGGCTAGACCAGTAACTTTGATGGTGAAGTTGACAGGTGGGAGAAGTAAAGCTGTGATGAAAAGGAGCCACATGATGTTAATTGTACGGAGGCAGCACTTTTAAATTTTTCAAGGACTTTAGTGTGGAGTAAGGATCTTATGATTATTAGAGTGTATAATACTGAAATAATTTTGGAAAATTTGCTTTAAAAAACTGCTTTTAACTCCTTATCTTTCTAACTTTGCCCAGGTATTTCCCTATAGCATATACAGGTTTTTACTGAAATATGAATATTTTAATATATCATTCCTTATACCTCTAGTTTTCAAGCTGAGGGCCATTATCTATAAATTGGCTAGAAAAACTTACTGGTTTGTGGCTAGAATTTTTTTTTAATGACATGGAAGAAAATAGGATAGAAAATATCAGGGTCCATGAAACATAATTACTATTTCACGAACCTCTTATTTCCACTACATGAATGTACTTAAATATTTGTATTTGTACTGGTTCTTGATGTAAAATTAATTTATTTCTCATTTTGATTCAAAGTCAAAACAATTTGTGAGCAAAACTACTTAGACTTTAATAGAAAAGAGGTTTTTTTTCTTTGAACCACGTTTTCAAAATAAAAACTTTCCTTTAAGCACAGGTGAGCAAAAAGAAAAAGAAAAATTACCTCTAATCCTGCAACTGAGAATAGTGTTAATATGTGATATATTCATTATTTTTTGTCCTTGGCATATGTTGCTACAACGTGTTAAACTGTTTCCTAAAACTAGGACAATATTGTACACACCATTAGGAAACTGACTTTTATTCCTTTACTACATGGTTAGGATATTTCCACTGACCTTTAATTTTGAATAGCCTTCTATAACTCTGCGTCTATACTTGCCACATATAGGGCTCTGTCTATATCACACTGTCCATTATGGTAGCCACTGGCCATATATGGCTATTTAAATGTAAGTTACCGGAGCGCCTGGGTGGCTCAGTCGGTTAAGCCGCTGCCTTCGGCTCAGGTCATGATCCCGGGGTCCTGGGATCGAGCCCTGCATCAGGCTCCCTGCTCAGCGGGAAGCCTGCTTCTCCCTCTCCCTCTGTCTGCCTTTCTGACTACTTGTTCTCTCTCTCTCTCTGTCAAATAAATGAATAAAATCTTTAAAAAAATAAAATAAAATAAATGTAAGTTACCCTAGTAAGGTAACTAAGTTACCTTAGTTGCATGAACCTATTTCAACTACTCTGTAGTCACTTACGTATAGTGTCTACTCCATTGTACAATGGGGATATAGAACAGTGTCCTTATCATAGAAAGTTCTCTTAGACAACATTACATATGGACCATATGATAACTTTCTTTTCTTAGACTCTGTCCTTATACCATATCCATAGATCAACAAGTTTCTGAACTGAAGCGTAGTGGAAGTTTTTATTCTTTGGTTGTGAGGACTTGTAACCAACCCCTTGCATGGGAAGGCATTTCACATGTGGCCACCAGCTCCAACTCTATTCCATAGAGCCCAAACACCCACACGCAGAATATGATTCCCCAGTGTAGCATAAAATTGGCATTCCAGCCAACTTTGCTTTCTTAAAGTACAGCGTGTTGAAAAAGTTTGTATTCTGAAGAGAGTAAATATTCTTCTTTTAAAAAAATCCATACATAATTTCCTAATTGAGGGATTATTTAGGAAAAAAATAATGCTATCATTTTTGTAATGTCCTTTTTTTTTTTTTTTAAAGAAACACTACTGAATTTAATAGATGGTGTACCTACATTTTTTATCAGGAAGTAAGTCTGCTCTCGGTATCACCATAGCCCACAACAGAATCAGTAATGCAGGTGCCATGATCATCACATCCTACAGAAAACAGAAGGATGAAGATCCCAATCACCACCAGTCACCATTTTTAAGAAAAACTGGAAGCTACCTTTGAATATAAAATGTAGTCCTTTCCCCATTTAACAGTTCTGAATTATCTGTTATGTGCTAGAAATATAAATATGAACAAATGTTGGGTTTTGTTCTTAAAACGTGGATCCATAGTCTGAGGGGCAGGATGAAATGTAAATGAATAATTGTAGTCCAGTTAAACACTGTTGCGGTAAAGGTGTGAATGGGGCACAGTAGGAGCCAAGAGACTTCTGAATTGAGAAGGATTAACTAGAGTTTTTGTTTTTTTTAAGATTGATTTATTTGTTTTAGAGGGAGAGAGAGAGACAGTAAGAGGGAGAGAGAGAGTCCCAAGAAGACTTGGTGCTGAGCACAGAGCCCGATGCAGGGCTCGATCTCATGACCGCAAGATCAGGACCTGAGCCGGTCACTCAACCGACTGAGCCACCCAGGTGTCCCTTAACTAGAGTTCTTGACACACCAAGGGGAAAGGCAGTCCTGGTGGAATCCACAGCGAGGGTAAAGTCAGAAGAGCAGAGATTAAGTGGGTGAGGTTGGGTACTGAGCGGGAGACCAGAGCAGATCTTTGAAGAGTAAAAATTTCTAGGCACTGTTATTCAGATTGAAAATAAGCACCATTCCGATTCATTAACAAGTATTTAAATACGGGCCAACATGACAAGAAACTTAAATCTAAAACAATTTTTTTTTTAAAGATTTTATTTATTTATTTGACAGAGAGAGAGACAGCGAGAGGAGGAACACAAGCAGGGGGAGAGGGAGAGGGAGAAGCAGGCTTCCTGCGGAGCAAGGAGCCCGATGTGGGGCTCAATCCCAGGACCCTGGGATCATGACCTGAGCCGAAGGCAGATGCTTTACGGCTGAGCCACCCAGGCGCCCCTAAAACAATTTTAATGTGGGAAAGAGACACTTCGTATCACAAACCTGGAATATTATGGCACTTTGAGCTTTGGAGAGGTTAAATATGTTGATGAATCCAAATAGGGGCAGGCCATTAAAGAGAATTAAAAACATAGGTACAGACCTGAGGAAAATAAACACGGTCTTGCTACCTACTTGAAACAACTGGACAATGAAACTGAATCTAGAGTAGTAATGTTATAATAACTCAGCATGGCTGTCTGGGAAGTGTGGTTGTTAACATCAGCATCTTGTTGGACATGTTGTCGAAGAAGGGACTGGGATCCCTTGTTGGGAATTATCGATTAGAAATCTTGAGGGCTTCCTCTGAAGATATTGAAAGGCATTTTTCACATGGCCTGGATTTTAAGGAACAAAGAATTTTCACAGCTTCTCCATGTTGTGTTGTGTGCTATCCTGGCTTTTACAAAGCAGTTCTTCCTTTTATCTCTCATGCCCCTCCACCCTTTGATTCAGTGGGTGGCCCACATGGTTATTAGCCAATTGGCAATGAAGAAAAGGAGTCTGAAAGCTTAAATAATTTTCCAAAGATCAAACAGCTAGTAGAAAGTGGAATTTGGACCCAGTCTTGGATTTACCAACAACAAAGCCTATGTTCTCTACTAATTTAAGTGACTTCTAGTTTTCAGTTTAAAAATTTATTTAAAAAGGGGTGCCCAGCTGTCTCAGTTGGAAGAGCATGTGATTCTTGGCCTCGGGGTCATGAGTTTGAGGCCCACATCGGGTATAGGGATTACATAAAGTACAATATTTTTTAAAAACTTATTTAAATGGGCTGGTATTTGGCAATATAATGGTAACCACAGAAGATAGACTTTTGGCTAAATGGCAAAAAAAAAAAATTCTTATTTTTTAGCTCGCTATTTAACCAACTTATTACTTACCTTACGACTATCACTCTTAACTTTGTAATGAAATTAGTAAAATATCACAATATAGAAGATAGCAACATCATACAAATCAATTTCTTTTTCAAATAAACTTCAGTATTGCTAATCAGAATTGTGCTACTTTTGATAAAAATAATTTTCTCTTACTCTGGTCCCACATTGTGTAGAAACAGAATTTTAAAAATGACAAGGACAATAAAAGCAGATATTTTAATACTCTAAAATTTTTCAACAAGTAAGAATGTTAAGGAGTTAAAGGGAAACATTAGTAATTTGTTGAGCCTAAGAAGCAACAATACAAAAATAAAACCAAAAAAACCCTTAACAAATAACAATAAAGACAGTTTCCTCTGCAAGTTAAAGTTATGTCTTTGAAACGTCAGCATTTCCTGAAATGTTAGATATGCTCTAACTTTGCACTAATGGTCATTAAGAGGAATTCTAGGTCAGAAAAAAAGAATGCAAGATTGATATTCCCTAGTGACTTGTACTGACTGGCAAAGCAAATAGTATGTTATGACCAAACACTTATTTGTCCTTCTAAGTTAAGTAATTGAAGAGATAAAACTGTTGAAGATCTAAGTGGGGGAATAATTGAATATTTTACATAACCAAGCACCGTCCCATAGAATTTGTTGGGAGAATAATTGAATATTTTACATAACCAAGCACCCTCCTGTAGAATTTGTTACGTATTCCGACATCATAGCTGCTGAAAATGGAATTATGTTTTGTATTCAATCACTCAGAACTTTTCTGATGATTAATTTCTTTTTTGCTATAAAACAGCCATACAGTTTTTTTCACATCTCATTGTGATATTTTCCATTCAAAAAGGCGACACAACAAAATTAGGTGTCCTATAGATGACACAAGATATTCAAATAGAAGTCAAAATATTAGTGAGAATGACAATTTTTTGTGAGCCAGATAAATTGCCTCCAAGACTGGGTATTACTGGAGCTTTGGCAGTTGACCCGTGTTTCCCGGGTTCCCGTTCCTGTTCATTCTCTGCTCTGTTCCCTGAAAGCTCCTCCAGCCTTTGTCTATGATCCCTTATTATTTCTGGTCTCAGGCAGAACAATTACCACTGCTGGAAAAACAACCCAAATCTCTCTGGGCCATGTTTTTAATCCAAAGGTATATTGTTAAATAGATGTCAACTGGGAGACCTTTCACTGTACAAGAACAGAGCTAGCTACCTCTCTAGCTTAAAAAAATATATATCAAAATGACAATATGATCAACTACTTCTCATGGCTACCAATTAAAATCTGCAAGAAAGATATCAAGTTGTTAAGATAACATTCAAATTCAGCAGAATAAAGCAAATATGGGCCTACTTACAGTCCTCACAAAACAAAATCAGTCTTCTTAGAGATATCATAGGCTACTTGTTCATGTGACATTTCACTGAGTTTACCTAAAATTCCTCGAGTGCCCTCAAAGAATCTGCCTTCTGGTTAAGTGATATATTGGAAATTTGGGAGAAAACAGGAGCACAACCTCTTGCACTATAGATGTTTGTAGAAAGTTGGGTTAAGTTTTGGCAACTGGCAATGGATTTCCCCAGTGTTCCTAAGAATTGGTCAAATTCTACCGAAGTTCAAACTTAAGAATATTTTCCCCTCTTTTTTTTTCAACTTATTTTTTTTTTTTGCCTGGGGCATTTGTTTTATAACCAAAGTTGTATATGCAACCCTGTTTTTAGAGCATTTTTTTGAGTCACTTGTGGTGACATCTAGTTCCAGACTCAACCTCAGTGCACAGAAATTGAAAAGCAACTGAGAGGATTCATGCTCTGTTAGGCTCTTAAAAGTAAAGAGTTTGCTTTTTTACTTCCTCTTTTTTTCCTGTACAGCGTAATCAGCAATAAAACTCATCTCTTGAGGGATGAAGAATAAATAAATAACCCAAGGTGTAAAATGCAAATGACACATTTAGCATTTAGGTATATTGTATTAACCCCCAAATGAAAACATGTGCAAGCTTCCTAAAAATATAAATGAGTGATAAGGACCGTATATAATGCGTGCAATTTTTTCTTACTGGATTTTGGTCAACTTTCTGAAATAGTCATAAAATATAAGTCATGGGTTCAAATTGTTGCCCTATACATTCATAAACAATCTTTAGCCAAGGTAGGAATGGTGCTTCATTGGGAAAATGAAGGAAGAAGGACTTTGCTGCTAATCTCCCAGTGGTGGTTAAATGTCTGCCAGCTAATCCCACGTGGTATGATTTGCCATCCTGCATCTGTGCTCCCCCATTCCGGGGCATACCTTCCTCTGGTGATCCTCTTGTTTCCAACGACCGTGCTCAGTATCAGAGGGCCAGGACCAGATCCATCCTGTCCGTGCGTTTGGCTGCAGCCCCAGCACCTAGCACAGTGTCAGGCACAGGGCAGATGTTAAACGTGCCTGGCCCTGTATAGAATAGAGGCAAATTAATATGCTACCCTTACCAAGCCCAGCTCTGCAGGGTAAAATCTAGCATGGGGATGGGAGAGACCAGAGCTCAGGAGGCTGGGAGCATATTAATAAGCCTGGTCCATTTGGGGTGTGTGTGTGATACATTTGGTACCTTGCCTAAAAATTTCCCCAAGTAGCATTTCACGTAATGAAAACAAATGAGGTGATTTGATTTCCAAATCTTCATTACGTTTTGAAAGGCAAACTTTTAACAAATAGCTACATACCTTAATATATTTTTCAATAGCTACAAAAGAGGACATAACTTTCCTGCAAAATAAAAATTGTACCTGGTAATGAAATTTTGGGCATGATAATCCATTAAATTGAGTATCAGATACATTAATCAATATGGCTATAAAAGTGGTCACTTTTCACGTGTTTATGAATGTTAGGCTCATGGGGTACTGAGGGATTTTTCTTTTTCTTTTTTTTTTTAATTTTTCATTCAATCAATTTCTCCTGGAAATATAAAATATATAAAATAAATTTGTCAGTTTGGGTAAATAATTAATAAAACCAAGTGAGATATTTCAGCTATTTATGTTTTAGATACTTCAAATTATTGTACATCTCGTATCAAGTCAAACAATCTTGAAAAGTCCCAGAACTCCCAGGAGAGACAAAAAGCAGAATGCCTTCAGTTAGATGCAGTGCAATCATCTCCTTTTTGCTGTTGTTCCTTAATTTGTAGCTTTCTTAATTAACTCTCAAACGTCCTCACCAAGATATTTCATTAACTGCTACACCCTGTTTTCTAACCTCAGGTATTTTCTAAGAAATCTTGGCAGAGTATATATTTTCCTTTTAATCCCTAAAGTATCTGCAGCAATGGCAAACCAGTCCCCTATATAAGGGTCAACAAAAACCTTAGGTGTCTTGTTAATATGACTCACCTAGCCATGGATTTGCCATCCTCAGTTACTTAGCTGAGTTACAAGGACACAAGAATAGAATGCTATACCCAGAATCGATATGACCTGCCTGATAGACGTTTTATAGCACCATTATTAGTTCTGCCCCTGCTAATAATAGTTATAAGGGGTCTTGTTTCCCCTTTTTATTTAAAAATTTGCCATATATTTAGAAATCACTTATTTCTCCCTTTTCCTATCCTCCCCCTCCCCCACCCTTCCCCATGTAATGAAATTCTTAGGAGGTGGAGCATAGGGTGCTCTTAGAGAAAAAAAAAAGGCATTTGCTCACTTTGTGATGAATCAGCCTTGGATCCCCACTTACTGAGAAGTGCGGTGGCCCCATGCCATCAGGAGCAGCTGCAAGGGCATTGAAAATGAATCTTATCTCTGGGTGCACTTTTTGACTTAGAGGCGGTTCTTCTTTACTGTTTCGTCATCACAGCTGTAATGGTTACAAACTCACAGGCAGTTTGCTGTACCTGGGATGGCAACAGAGCTTCTCCAAGCACATCTCCAGGAGCATCTGTAAAAGCAGTTATGGACGACCCTCAACAGCAGCTCCCCAATGAATGAAATGAAAGGATCTCTCTTGTCCAGATAACCACTATCTGATAACGGTCTCATCTGCATTCTCATTCTCTTTCAAGATGTTTGGCTCTGTTCTGGAGCTGAAAGTCACATTTAGTCCTGGGTGACAAGGTCAAGTTTTCTGTGGGTACTCTCAAGCACTGCCTTTCTATGTTCTTTACATGCTCCATTCAGTTAAGGTATGTATGCATTGCGTCTCTGTCACCCACACAGCGCCAGGCTCATGTGAGGACAAGAAGAATGGAGCGTGAGGAATAAGTCTCTCTGCCTTCTGAGCGTTAGCAGCATTTCTCAGTCTTAGGAGAATGCCTTAGCCTTTTCTCTTCTTTGCAAGCAAGTCCTGCACCTGCAAATACTTCTGTGTGCCAGGGGCAGGGAGAGCTTCTGAGTGGATAAACTGCTGGGAGCTGTAGCCTGGCTTGTCCTGTACAAATTGTGACAGACAGTGGCAGTTGGGTCTGCGGGCACGGCCCAGGACCTTCTCCCTCCTGTCAACTCTCAGGTTCCAGCAGAGCGCCTCCGCTGTCCTCAGTATGCTTTAATTGAAGTAAACTGAGTTGCATTTTTCCTTTATTTTGTTCCATTTCTGTCTAGAAATTTTGAGGTGACTGACTAGCAAAGCTAATTAAAAACATGTGGCCTAGGGTGTGAATGGATAAGAATAGCACTTACTGGGGTGCCTGGGTGGCTCAGTCGGCTAAACCTTCCGCTCAGGTCATGATCCCAGGGTCCTGGGATAGAGCCCCTTGTCAGGCCCCCAGCTCAGCAGGGAGTCTGCTTCTCCCTCTCCCTCTGCGTGTGTGCTCTCTCTGTCTCTCACACACTATGTCTCAAATAAATAAAATCTTAGGAAAAAAAAAAAAGAATAGCACTTATTGTACTAAGCATCTGAGCCAGGTACTAGTCGTTGCCTTTATAAGGGGACCTCCACTCTTAGCCCCAGGAGCTGAGTGACAATGGTCTCTGAGAAGCCAAAGCAGGAGGGGGGAGCAAGGGCCCAGAGGCAATTGCCAGGTGAGATCAGTTCTGTTTGCAGGATGAGGAACCACAGGTACTCTGAATGAGACTTCCCGGAGGCTCAGTGTAGGTAATGTGTAAGAACATTGAGTGGGGTTCTTAAGGTATCCATTGTAGCAGTTGCCAAACTGGATCAGTCATTATTGGATGACCTGAAAAAATGCGATTTTCCCTGGGGAAAGGGAGAGAGATCCATTTATTTGCTAAGAAGCACCCAGCAAAGTTGAGATAGAGCATCAGCCTCTGACCTACTCTTGGATGTCCCACACATCTAATTTTAGGTGTAGCATACTTGTCACTATAGAAACCCTAAAAATAGTTATTGATCATTGTGAGGGCCATAATTTCTGGCCTCAAAGTCTGCTTTCACGTTCTATTTCTTATATTCTTTTACTCCAGGAGTGTTTACTGAATGCAGCTCTGCACAGTGCCAGGCACTGTTAAGAACATAGACTATTAGATCTGGCTACTACACTGGATACCATCTTCTTGGATATATGATCTTTTTTCAGCTTTCTCCATAATAATTTTAAAAATGTGCTTATATTTTGTCTCCATGTCCTATTTCCACTGTAGCCTGAAGGAAAATGATGGTTTTGTATAGTTTACTTTTTGGGCAATGGTTTTCTTCTTTAGAATAAACTGTAAATGTCCAAAGATAGTATAACAGAACATGCTGGAAGAATCCCCCCATTTTTTTTTTTTTTAAGTAAAATCAAATTTGCCTGTATCTTTTAGAAGAAAAGCAATCTTGGTTCAGCCAAATAGTATAGTTGAAAATACAAATAGGGTAACAGGAAGGAACTCAGGATTCAGTGGTTCCATTTTGGACTCTGGTTACCGAAGCTTACTAAATGTGTCTATAAGTAGGAATCCATCCCATGGAAATGTGAAATGGCGACCAAGATTTATATGAGAGAAAAAGAGTGAAATTCATTATACCTTTACTTGTAATAGGAAAAATAATATGGGGATGGTTGCAAGAAAGATAACTTTTAAAGGTTGAAATATGTAGATAATAAAGGGAACGTTTATCAAGAACTTTTAATAATACAGGGTATTACAGAAAAATGTTAAGCAAAAACAATAGAGCAAGTATACATATATAGATAGATTTTTTCCATAATCTCATTTTTGATCAAAAGAGCAAACCGATAGGAGCAGTTATCTCTAAGTAGTAGGTTATTAGTTAGCTATTGTTGCAGAACAACCACCCACAGACACTGCAGTGGTAAATATTGATAAGCATTTATTTCTTGCCCAAGTGTCTGAGTTGTTTTTTTTTTTTTAAGATTTTATTTATTTATTTGGCAGAGAGAGAGATAGCGAGAGCAGGAACACAAGCAGGGGGAGTGGGAGAGCGAGAAGCAGGCCCCCTGCCGAGCAGGGAGCCCGATGTGGGACTCGATCCCAGGACCCTGGGATCATGGCCTGAGCTGAAGGCAGACGCTTAACGACTGAGCCACCCAGGCGCCCCCAAGTGTCTGAGTTTTGACTAGACTCTGGCTAAATTTGGCTGGGCTCCAGATCACAGAGTGGGATCACGTGTATTCTCAACACTGTCATTCTGTTGGAACCAACGGCTACCCAAGGCGGTTCTTTTTATGGTGATAGCAAATGTGCAAGAGAACAGGACCAACTGTGCAAGCCCATTTCACTTATCTCCTTATGTCACATTCACTGACATCCCAAGAATCAGAACAGATGACATGGTCACACCCAGAGTCGAGTGGACCCAGCCACAGTCTACTCCCATAAGGGTGTGGATGTGTGCAACTGCTAGAGGGCTGTGAAAAATTGGAACCAATGGCTCATCTACTGCAGTGGGATTAACATGTCCCTTAATTTTCTTCTTATGCTCCAATATATACAAATATCTTATTGTGTATAAATGCAGGAAAAAAAGTATTAGAGATACACAGATTAATGGGGTAGAACAGAGAATCCAGAAATAAACTCTCACATTTATGATTGATGGATTCTTGACAAGGATGCCAAGATAATTCAATGGAGAAAGGAACAGTTTGTTTTTTTTTAACAAATGGCATATAAATATGCAAAAGAATGGTGTTCAACCCCTACCTCATACCACATACAAAAATTAACTCCAAAGAAATCAAAACTTAAAAGTGAGAACTAAAACTATAAAACTCTTAGAAGAAAACATAGGCATAAATCTTAGTGACCCTCACATTAGGCGGTGGTTCCTTGAACCTGATCCAAAAGCAATGAAAGAAAAGGTAGATATGTTGGACTTCAGTAGAATTAAAAGCTTTTGTGCTGCAAAGGACACCAGAAAGAAAGTGAAGACAACCCACTGAATGGAAGAAAATATTTACAAATTACATATCTGGTAAGGGACTTGTAACCAGGAAAAAAATGAGGAAATCTTACAACTCACCAATGAAAAGATAAATACCCCCATGAAAAATGGACAAAAGATTTGAATG